AAAAATACAAATTTAAATTACATTAGGTATCGAATTATTTTATTTCACAAATGAATAAAACAATAATAATCGATCATTTGTAAAAAGAAGAAAAGAATTTAATTTATTTTATAATATTTTTAGAGCGCAAGAAAATTGAAATGATAATTTTTATCTTTTCTGGAAAATAATTATTTGTAAAATGAAAGGAGAAAAATTACCTTCAATGAATTTAAAAGTTCCATTGTTTGACTGTTGTAGTATTCTCTTTCCTTCTCCAAATCAATTGTTTTTTTTTCGTTTAAACGAAGCCTAAATTTTAGGTCAGTAAATTATTGAAAAATTAAAAAATTTCAAAAAAATTAATTGATTTTAAACAAAATTTCTATCATTCATAATAAATGAAAAATGAATGAAAAAGAAGAAGAAAAAAAAGTTATAATCGTACATTGCCTCAACACGTTCCTTTTCCGCTAAAATACAATTCGTTTTTGTTTCAATTTCCATTAATCGATTTTTTAATTGACATGTTACAGTTGATAAATTTTGATTTTCAAGCAAAAATTTTTCACGTTCTCTGATAATCGATGATACTTGCTCCTCAATTTTTGATTTTTCCAAATTGAGTGACTATAAAAATGAACCAATCATGGACATGCACATTTGCTATTGTAATTAAAGCAAAACCTTAGAGCATAAAAAAAAATGAAGAATTCAAGGGAGTAATTTTAGACAAAATATAATTTTAATTTATTAACTTACTAAATCCATGCTATTGTTTAAGTATTTGGATGGAAATCCTTTAATATTTATTTTCAATAATACATTTTATATTCACAATTATGAATTTTCACTTTTGGATAATTTAAAAATAAAGCATGGAAAAACGCGTGCCATAAATTTGCCAAACAAAAAATATAGTTAAAAATTGTTAAATTGATTAGCTTATGTTTAATAATTTTTTTTTTTGAAAAAATTTGAATTTTTCAAGCTTTAAGGACAAAAAAAAAGTTTGACTAAATTGTTTTCAATTTAGTTTGCAACATTCTTTTGCTTTTTTAATAATATTTGAAATAGTTTAACTGAATTTTACCCATTTGTTTATATTTGGCTAAATTTTTTGAACAAATAAATTTGCGAAATCATAATGATAGCAATTAATTTATCAGAAATTTTGCCTATAAAATTCTTTTCTCATTTTCCCATTTGACCTTGCCTATTTTACAAATTTAATTTCATAAATCACAGACCTGCATATTACTGACAAGATGTTCAGTTTTAGCATTCAACGAAATTTTCTCCTGTTCCAATGTCCGTTTCGTTTCATTTGTAATTTTCAATTCACTATTAAAAGTCATTATTATTAAAATAACATTTCGTTTTCACTTTTATTTTTTGATAAATTAATTTAGTGTAATTATTGAAAATGAATAAACAAATGCAAATAATGAAATTTTGAAACAGATAATTAGGAAAAAAAGTGAAAGTTTATTTAAGAATAAAAAGAAGGCAAAATTAATTACAATCAAAATGAAACTGATTAATTAAGGTTAATTTAGTGATAAAAATAACTATGGTTAACTTTTTTACGCTTTGCAAATCATCCTTCAATTTTTTCGTCATTCGAATTAATCTTTCTCGTTCTCTTTCCAATTCATCTTTTACTCTTTCCAAACACTGCAATGATGATAAAATAATTAAATTAGAAATTGAATGATAAGATCGATGTAGTAAACAATTGCATCACCTTTTCAATCAGTTAAATTTTGCAATCCTTTTCTTTTTTAATAAAAAATGCTCCATATTATTTCAACAATTATAAGTATTGAAATTAATTCGTATCAAAAAAGTCATCAAAAAATTTAAATGATTGACAAAATTTCTTCATTACAACATTAAATGAAAAAAATTTTTTGAAACAAAATTATATACATCAATTAACACTGCATGCTTTTTTAACGATGTTCATTTTTTAAAGAAGAAAAAAAAAATTTGAAAATTTAATCGAATAAAATAAATCGTACCAAATAACGGCTATGTTCTTCTTGGCGTGCTTGTGCTTCAGCTAATAATTTTTCCTCATACATTTTCTTCTCCTCACTTAGCAACACACCACGGCTTTCCAATTCTTCCACTAATTTTTCCCATGAAGTGGTATTCTTGTAAGAACTAAAATTTTTGTTTTTATTTTTACTAAATTTTTTTTGCAAAAATTTTCAAAACTTAAAATGATACAATCGTTTATAAATGATTTTGATTCAATTCCTTGTATTTTGTAATGATTTTTGAAATCATAAAATCAAATTATAGGCTTTAAATTTTATGTA